CCCATGGCGGAGGGTGTGATGAGCTGCCGTGGGGGGTAAATGAGCTGCCGTGGGGCAGAGCCCGATGTGGGGCAGAGCCCCCCGTGGGGCAGCACCAGCACCGTGGGGCAGAGCACAGTGTGGGGCTGAGTGTGATGTGGGGCTGATCCGCTGTGGGGCAGAGCCCAGGGTGGGGCAGAGCCCAACATGAGGCCGAGCTCGCTGTGGGGCAGCAGCGCCGTGGGGCAGAGCCCCCCCGTGGGGCAGAGCCCAGGAGGACACCAAGCCCGATGTGGGGCCGAGCTCCCTGTGGGGCAGAGCCCGATGTGGGGCAGAACCCCCGTGGGGCAGTGGCCGATGTGGGGCAGCACCACCATGGGGCAGAGCACGATGTGGGGTGGAGCCTGATGTGGGGCAGCACCACCGTGGGGCAGAGGCCGATATGGACTGAGCCCAGTGTGGGGCAGAACCTGATGTGGGGCAGAGCCAGATGTGGGACAGAACCCCCGTGGGGCAGAGCCTGATGTGGGTCAGAGGCCGATATGGGGCAGAGGCCGATATGGGGTAGAGGCCGATGTGGGGCAGAGCCTGATGTGGGGCAGCACCACCGTGGGGCAGAGGCCGATGTGGGACGAAGCCCCCCGTGGGGCCGAGCCCGAGGTGGGGCCGAGCCCCCCAGGAGCCCGAGCCCCCCGTGGGGCGGAGCCCGAGGTGGGGCCGAGCCCCCGCAGAGGCCCGAGCCCCCCGTGGGGCGGGAATAGCCTGCGTGGGCAGGGCCCGCTTGTGGGCGGGCCCGCTGGGGCGGCCTACGCCGGCGCCACCTGGCTGGAGGAGACCGAGGACACCTGCGTGGCCTGGGACGAGCCCGACACGTCGTCGTCGTCCCCGAAGGGGCTCCGGCCGCAGAACACGAGCTTGAGCATGCACGAGCGGAACTGCGGGGGGCACGGCTCGGAACGGACCCCCGGGGCACCGGGCACGCAGGGGGACCCCCGGGACCACAGAGGGACCCCCCGGGACACCCGGGCACGCAGGGGGACACCCCGGGACCACAAAGACCCCCCGGAGACCCCGGGCACGCAGGGGACCACCCCGGGACCACCGGACACACAGAGGGACCCCTCAGGACACCCGGACACACACAGAGACCCCCGGGACCACAGAGACACCCCCCGGGACCCCCAGGACACCGGGCACACAAGGGGACACCCCGGGACCACCGGGCACACAGGGGGACACCCGGACCCACAGAGAGACCCCCCAGGACCACCGGACACACAGAAGGACCCCCCCGGGACACCTGGACACGCAGAGGGACCCCCCGGGACCCCCGGACCCACAGAGAGACCCCTGGACACACAGAGGGACCCCTCAGGACACCCGGACACACACAGAGACCCCCGGACCCGACACAACACAGCAGACCCCCGGAACACAGCAGGGACACCTGGACACACAGAGAGAGCCCCGGGGACCCCCGGACACACAGAGGGACCCCCAGACCCTCAGGGACACCCCCGGATCCACGGAGAGACCCCCGGGGAACCCCCTGACCTACACAGAGACCCCCAGACCCACAGAGAGACCCCCAGACCCACAGAGAGACCCCTGGACCCTGAGGGACACCCCCTGACCCACAGAGAGACCCCCAGAGAGACCCCCAGACCCACAGAGGTCACTGGGGGTTATTGGGGGTTACTGGGCTGTTCATGGGGGTTACTGGGGTGTTA